AACTTGGGTCGACAGTTTTTTTGTCTAAATGCGCTTTTAATAAGTAGGATAAGGTTTCAAGACAATAAAGATTAACAAGATTATTGGTGTAGTATTTGTGCAAATCACCGGTTGGTCTTACTGAATCAGTTATATATCATTAAAGCTTTAAAATCCCTCATCATGATGGCTTCTTTTGACAGGAACAATGTGTTTAAGCTCCTTGTGATTACCTTCGCCGAGGTCCATGACGGCCAAGACAGCACTGCACCTTGCCTCTCCCAGCTCATTGGTTGCCACGCAGGTGTACAAGCCAGCATCACTTGTGCGACAGTCTCGTATCCAGAGACCGCCCGAGTCCTGGGCTTCCGATGGAGATAAGAGCTCATCGTTGCGGTACCAGGCCAGCAAAGGTGTTGGACGCCCCAGCACTGACACCCTCAGTCGGATATCACAACCTGTTCCCACTGCTGCTTTACGGAGCTTACGCACAAAAACCGGTGCTGCTGGTTCTCGGATATTAGCCCCATTTTCTGGAACGTGGTCAATGCTGATTTTGGCCCTCTTGGAAGGGATGTTCGAACTGGAACTGGAACTGGAACTTGAACCGTGGCTTTCTGCCATCTTGACTTCTTAAAGACTTTTTAATTAACTGTACTTCTTATCTGGCAATTGACTGGGTTATCAAGATGAACTGCATTTATTGAATGGCTCCTCTGAAAGACTCCATTAGTTTAGATGTCTCTGGGCTCACTGGGAGTGCAGAGGGGGTTTGAGCTGGGATGTTGCACCAGGAACTGAAAAAAAACCCAGAGTATATTTACCACACTGACATCAAAGTTATCTACTGATCCCAACATGCCAAAAAAACCCAAATAAACAAACAAAAAAGAGATATTTTTTCAAAATGTATTATTTTGAAACTGGTTATTAAAATGGCTTAAAAGAGGCTCATTGTACCCTTTGTAACGTCTCTATATACCAAGTGAAAGTAAAGTCATTATAAGTGACAAAAAAGCATGCTGGTCTTCAGTGCAAACCTGAATATTTTTGCAGCAGAGCCTATGAAATTGTGAGAAGCCCAGGTTTACTACAGGCTTTAGTGGGAAAACTGAGCTTGTTAATGTGTTTTAACCCAAAATGTGACCTTTCCTTATAACCCCAATTCCCCCAAAAAATTGGATGATGTGAAAAATGTAAATAAAAACAGAGTGCAATGATTTGCAAATCTCAAAAAAACATATTTTATTCACGGTGGAGAACAGAAAACATATGAAATGTTTAAACTGGGACATTTTAGTATTTCATACAAAATATTAGCTTATTTTGAAGCTGACAGCAGCAACACAAAAGCCTGGAAAAATAAGTGGAACTAACAAGCAGCTGCTGGAGGCACATTACCATAGTAACATGTTTGTAACATGAATAAGTTTAATGTAAGTAAGTTAAGTAAAGACGGGCAGTCGTTCACCCATCGGCAAAAAAACTCCATCTACAAATTGTGAAACAATTTCTGAATAATGTTTCTCAGGGTAAAACTGTAAAGATTGTGAATATTTCATCATCTGCAGAACATAACATCATCAAAAGATTCAGAAGAGCTGGAAAAATCTCTTTGTACAAAGGCTGAAAATCAATACTGGATGCTCATGATCTTCAGGTCCAAAAAAAAGTGAGGATTCTGCCTTAGAAATCACTGCAGGGACACTTTCAGCAGTCACTGTATGTGTATGTCATTATTGTATGTCCTCTCATTTTGGCACCCGTGCCACAAAACTGATGAACCACAGAGAAGTCAAGCTGTGGTAGCCAGGAGGGAGAACCAATTTTAAAACCCTTTGGATGCCACTAGTGCATCTTAGACTAAACAACAACCTGTAGCTTGCAGAGTGGTACAAGTTGTCAAAGGACTGTGACGCCAAAGGTCGTGATTTGGTTTCCTTCACCCACCTGCAGTTAATGTTAGCAATTTTTTCCAAAAGAAAAAGAAAACAAACAAAAGAAGGAAAAAAATCATTCAATTATTCAATTATGACAATAAAATAACATTTATTGCCATTTAAAGGGCAGAATTTCATAAGCAGGTGTAGGAAAAAGTGTAGTGATCAATCCAGATGACAGCAAGTGGAGAAGCAAAATTAAAGAATAGCTGGCGTATTTCTTTCATGTGTTAATGTATGATGTTTTATATGCTGATCCAAGGAGTC